CCAGTTGTTAAGGGTTCAGTGTGTTCACATATAACCCAGGTGTTAAAGACTCACAGTGTGTTCACATATAACCCAGGTGTTAAAGACTCACAGTGTGTTCACATATAACCCAGGTGTTAAAGACTCACAGTGTGTTCACATAAAACCCAGGTGTTAAAGACTCACAGTGTGTTCACATATAACCCAGGTGTTAAAGACTCACAGTGTGTTCACATATAACCCAGGTGTTAAAGACTCACAGTGTGTTCACATAAAACCACTGATATTTAATAAGTTTCCATGTGTTCGTGTAAAACCCAGGTGTTAAGGACATGCAGTGTATTCATGTAAAACTAAGCTATTGAGGACTCCTACTGTCTTCATGTAAAACCAAGATGTTAAGGACACATAAAATCAGTGGTCATGCCACTGATAACATGTATAAGAAAATGAAAAAGCAGTTTGTGTGTGAAGCTTGACTAATAAAGTTTATAGACACACTGTCAATAAATTAAAATATGAATCTATACTATTATTCTGCTTGTTTGTATGTACAACCGTTATGCGTAGTTAGAATGTTTCCCCAAGAAAAACCGTGCATGTGCATTATTCACTCGACAACAAACTATATGCCTGTGGCAGAAAGCTGCAAAGTTCAGTGATCAAGTCGCTACAGTTGCTGTATGAAACAAGAAGTAACAACAAAAGGGGAATATAAATGTACTTTACTAACCATATTGAACAACAGAATAAAAACTTATCAAAGTTTTAAAAAAGGTTTGACGTTAGGTCATAGAATAACATTATAAATTTATTTATCAATAGTATTAAGTACAGTAAAGTTTAGTCCTAACTAAACTAAAGTAAAAAAAATATACACACAGGTTACAGTGTTAATTTATCTCTCTATCAAACTTAGGCCTAACATAAGTTAAAGTTTTATAAAGTACAGCCTATATATAAGTGGATTTACACATTTCGTTGTCTACGATTACAATTCATTTGTATTGTGCTAGAAATGTTATATTTAAAGAAGTACTGTTACGATAAAGATACTAATTTGGCCGGGAATGTTTTGCGGGTCTCTGCTAGTGAATTATAATTAGTCATAGAGATGCTAACACACTAATTTTGATGTTTATATTAGCTAGTTTTATTTTTCTTTCCAGTGAATGACAAGCAGAATGTATGAGCTGTTTGTTGAGTTTTGTGCATTGAGTTGTACTGTAAAAAGTTGGTCACTGCTGAATGTCTGAGTACTATATCATACCATAACTGTATAAATAAACATCTCCCTTTACCTTATTAACTCTACTGACTGTAAAAAGTTGGTCACTGCTGAATGTCTGAGTACTATATCATACCATAACTGTATAAACAAACATCTCCCTTTACCTTATTAACTCTACTGACTGTAAAAAGTTGGTCACTGCGGCAGTTATGGTATGATATAGTACTCAGACATTTATAAATAAACATCTCGTTTTACTTTATTTACTGTGCACTGCTGTCTTTATGTTACTGCAGGTAATGGACTTGTATCTACTGTCTTTACATTACTGCAGGCTATGGACTTGTACAGAACATACACTACTGTCTTTATGTTACTACAGGTTATGGAATTGTACTGAATGTCTACTTCTGTCTATACATTACTGCAGGTTATGGACTTGTATCTACTGTCTTTATGTTACTGCAGGTTATGGAATTATAGAGAATATACTCTCCTGTCTTTACATTACTGCAGGTTATGGACTTCTAATGAATGTCCACTAGTGTCTTTTTGTTACTGCAGGTTATAGACTTGTGCTGAATGTCCACTAATGTCTTTATGTTACTGCAGGTTATAGACTTGTACTGAATGTCCACTACTGTCTTTATGTTACTGCAGGTTATAGACTTGTACTGAATGTCCACTACTGTCTTTATGTTACTGCAGGTTATGGACTTGTACTGAATGTCCACTACTGTCTTTATGTTACTGCAGGTTATGGACTTGTAATGAATGTCCATTACTGTCTTTATGTTACTGCAGGTTATGGACTTGTACTAAATGTCCACTACTGTCTTTATGTTACTGCAGGTTATGGACTTGTACTGAATGTCCACTACTGTCTTTATGTTACTGCAGGTTATAGATTTCTACTGAATGTCCACTACTACCTTTACTGCAGATTGTGAGTTTATGATGTCATTATCCTCTGCATTAGCTTTTGGGTTAGGATTTTGTATTAATGTTTTCTACAGCCTTCATGTTATGGGTTTATACTAACTTTATCACTGTTTAAAATTTATGATAAAAAACAAATCAAATGTATTTCTTTTCCAAATTCCTCTTAATTTTTTCATTATATATCTTAAGTCAAGTTGTGACATTTAAACCATAACTTTTTTCCGTATTTCTACTAGATTCTTTAACAGACTTCTTGTGTATGTTAACTTTTACACTAGGCTCCAGGCTATGGGGATATTAGACTAGTAATCGAAGAAATACCAAGTATGGTCACCCTGGAGAAGGCCTTTCTCATTGGATGTCGAGTATGGAATTCTTGGTAAGGTTTTTGTCAGTGGCATGAGGTCTCCTTTGGAAAAATGGAGCATTTCAAAATGCATGGTAAACTTGCGTGCTTAACAAATAGAAAATGAAGGTTTTACTCAGAAAAAGTGTGTAAGAATCTATGGTCATGATAGAATTACACACACATGAAGTTCAAGTTTGTTTTCATCACTGTACAGAGTTTTATTATATTTCACAATATTTTCTTCAGGTAGACAAACAGTGCATTTTGTTCAAAGTAAGACATCTAAAATTGTATTGAAAAGGGTTGTGTGGCAAACAAACTTTATACTATTAAACCTTAGTTTTAAGGGGAAAATTAATTAAAAATTAAAAACTAGTTCTCATTAAGAGAATGTGTGTATATATATATATATATTTTGCAATACCATTATCGGTCCTGGTTCTTACCACAGACATTATCCATTATGACAATAAGTTGACAACCAGGACCGATAACGGTATTGCGATATTTAATTCATTACTGCTCTATAATGCTGATTTAATTTCGTATTAACAATTAATGTAATCAATAGTTTGTAAGCTATATATATTAGGTCATCAAGAAATTAATTTCGCGTTTTGGAACACTTTCATTAACCACCCCCTAAAAAATGTAAAAAAGCAAAATATAATTTTAATACCCTTCAATCTTATTTATTTACAGAGCCATAAATAGAAAATCAGACCACACTTGCCACATCCACCTGTCATATCCTCTCTTTCAGAAATTGTCAGTAGTTCTCTCTTACATTAAATATTATATTAGGTCACATTTTAGAATGTTTTCATTAACCACCCTCCGAAATACGTACATCACGTATAATAGTTAAACGAATCGGCTGAACATCACGTTATTTAGCCTATATAATGTCTAAACTTTAGTATACTCTAATCCCTTATGGTGATGGCACACGACGAGACACACATTTGGCATGTAATGCTGTTTGAATACAAGAAGGGAAACAGTGCCTCTGTAGCCACAAAGAATATCAAAGAAGTTTATGGAAATGTTTTGAACGTTCGTAAGTGTCAACGATGGTTCAGCAAATTTCGTTCAGGTGACTTTAGCCTTAAAACCTGTGATGGCAGGAGCCCACATGCTGGAATTGATATTGATGTTATGAAGACACTTGTTGAGTCTAACCCAAAGCAACACACTCGTGAAATAGCCTTGAAATTGCATGTCTCTCATGAAACAATACGTAAAAATCTAAGGAATGTGGGAAAACTCCTTAAAGAAGGTGGGTGCCTCACGAACTATCCGATGATCATCATTTCCAACATGTGAACGTTGCTTCATTTCTTCTGGCGTGTGAACCAGTTTTGAACAGAATTGTCACTGGTGATGAAAAATGGATTCTCTGTGCAAATATTAAACATCAAAACAATGGCTCCGTCCTAGACAAAAACCCCTTCCGACCCCAAAACCTGGACTCCATCCGCAGAAAGTGATGTTTCCATTTGGTGGGACATCAGAGGAGTAATTCATTTCAAACTCTTCAATCCACAGTGAACTGTCAATGCATAGATCTATAGTCAGAAACTGAGGTTTAAATCAAGCCCTTCATCAGAAACGTGTTTTGCTCGTCAATCAGAAAGGTGGAGTTCTTCTCCACAACAATGCACGTCCACATGTAGCACATTTGATGCAACACAAGATTATGGAGTTGGGTTGGGAACTTCTCCCCCATCCACCATATTCTCCAGATATGGCACCATCAGATTACTATCTTTTTCGTTCGCTGCAACACCATCTTAATGGGAAAACGTATGCAAATGTGGAAGGTGTTAAAGAGGACATTGACATGTTTTTGCTTGAAAGCAAAGTTATTTCTTTAATCAGGGCATTAACAACCTGACTGTAAGATGGAAACACATCATCGATCAGAATGGAGACTAATTCGTTTACTAAATGTTTTGTTTTGATATATAAGTTGTTCCAGTTTTTTCATCTAAATAAAAGGGATATTAATTTCTTGACAACCTAATACATACGTAATGTATGTGTGTATATTATATATAAATTAAGCCTTAAAATTATTTTTATTTTAAATTCTATTCCATTTTAGTAGAAATATTTTTAGGGTGGTCTTTCGCTAGTGGACATAACATTTGATCTAAAAAGTGGTGATATTTTAAGTTAAATCATACACTAACTGTAAACATCATCAGTTTCTAATCTTCAGAACTAGTGGTAGTTTGGGGTGGTATTAAACACAGAAATATTTGTACTAATATAGGCCACATGCTTTTGGTTTCTTGTTATATTCTATGTTTGTTGAAAGAGAAGTGTTTACACTGTAATTTGACTAAAAGATTTAACAGACTTCTTCCTTGTTTGCTTATTTTAAATATATATTTAATTTTTTTGTTTTCAGTGTGTTTGGTAAATTTTGGTAATTGTCTTCCTTCTACTGTAGGATTGTAAGTAAAATATTCTTATTCCAAGGAAAAAGTTTGTTTTTTCTCAGATGACATAATAATTATATCTATTTAGAGAATCATAAAAAACTGTAATTTTTACCTTTGTAGTGAGCGCACAATGGACCTTGTCCTTACGTTGGACAATAAGATTAGCCAGGGATTGTGGTGGCAGGGAATATCAGGCCGTGGGTTAGGAAAGCTCGATCCTGGTGCTAGTGTTGAACTAAACCTGACAGCTCTACCAGTTAGAACTGGTGTTCAGGTAAGGATAAACACCAATGAATACATCTTTTTAGTAGAAAGTTGTGAAGGAAAAACCAGTTAGAACTAGTGTTCAGGTAAGGACAAACACTAGTGAATACATCTTCTTAGTGGAAAGGTGTGGAGGAACAACCAGTTAGAACTGGTGTTCAGGTAAGGACAAACACTAGTGAATACATCTTCTTAGTGGAAAGGTGTGGATGAACAACCAGTTAGAACTGGTGTTCAGGTAAGGACAAACACCAGGGAATACATAATCTTAGAGGAAAGGTGTAGAAGAATAAAAGAAAAATGTGAAGGACAAATTTCCACTGTTAGAACAAGTGCTATTTTTCAAAACATGTCCAATTGGCTAATTTTAGGAGATTACTTAGTACTGTTTAAAATGTTTAAGATAGTGTTATTTTTCTACTCTCAATTCTTTTTATGTAAGTATGAGTAACATAAGAGGTTTGTTTACTGTTTAACATTTGTATTTAGATGAATAACTGTATCAGAAGAATTGTTCCTAATGGAAATCTGTATTCAAGTATGTTGGTACTAACTATAATTTGTTAAAGGTTTTGTACTTAAATTGTTGCTTGTACAGAATGACTTTAACTGCTAAGATATTTATTTGTGAAAGATAGATCTTGTTTGTTTTCACTTCCTCCAGGTGGTGTCTGGGATCAGACTGACTGATGTTTTCTTGAAACGAATGTATGATTATGATGACATTGCCCAAGTGTTTGTAAACTCAGATGAAATTCCAACATAAATCTTCTTGCTTAGTTACTAGACATATTACTGGTGGTAATGTTTGTTGAGTATGTAAATAAATATCTAAATGTAATTTTTGTGTCTAAAAATAAATTTGAAATCTTGTGTCTTTAAGTTTCAGTAGTATAATTAATAATATGAATTTAAAATCATATTAGTATGCTATTATGCAGTATTACTGATGTGAAAATATCAAAAAGAGAGATATTTAGTTAGTGTGGATTTCTTGTTACATGTAGCTGTACAGACAGAAAGTAACTTTTGTACATTGTTCACGTCATTATCTAAGATAATAAAGATTAAGTTATGAACAGACACGGAGAATTTCTTGTATTACTGGTTTTTATGTAATTTTTCTATTGTGCATATTCAATGCAATATTTGTAGAATACTTAATTAAAACAATTTACGTTCTAGCAAAAGACAGGCATTTTAAATATGTAAGGAGATATTAGGTATCAGATGTAATAAGAGAAGTGTGTGTCTGGGGGAGGGATGATTACATAAAAACTTCTAAAATTGTACTGAAGTCATTAACTTTTAACTTGTTTAATACCTATATGCAGTGAAGTTAATGTTATTAAAACTAGAGGGGCACCCAGTAGAGCACATACCTTCAGCCATTCATTGTTGATCATATTCGTTTCTCAAAAAATGTGAAAATGTGTGTGTGTGTGTTTGCCTTTATCAACAGACATGGACCATTTTTGGTAGGACAGTGAGGAATAATATTCTACATATGTCTATCAAGTTTCATTAAAATCCAATCATTTTTGACTGAATCATAGAGCAAAAATAGTTTAAAAAACCTGTCCTCATGTTAACAGATAAGGATTTTTTTAGAGTTTCATGACCTTGAACCTCCAAAAACTAAATAGTTCCAAGTTGGCTCATAGTCCAAATGTATACCAACTTTCTAGAAATCTTGCTTAAAAATACACACACATACACACCTGGGTGAAAACAACAAACAAACCTGATTAACTAAAGTCGTTAACTTTTAAAATGTGTATATATATATGTAGTTGATGCAGCATAATCAAAGAATGAAAACTGTGTCCATATTTAAGTGTTATTATAACGTTTAGGACATTTCATAGGGTGAATGTTGCAAAATTTAGAATCACTTTAGTTATTGGGGACCCACTTAAGTGTTTTTGAATGTTTTATTTCTCTTGTGCATAACATTTTCAATGAAGGGTATATATATATATATAGTGTGCATGTGGTTTGGTGTTTTTTTGTGATACACCACACTTTAGTGGGCTATATGTGTGTCAAAGTACAGAACCTGCAGTGGGTAGAAGTGACAGTATGAGTGACCAAAATAAATGAGATTACTGAAGAAAAAAGATGGCTTGAATTACTTACAAATATAAATCAAAGTTTATTTAATATTACTTGTCATGATATTTGCCAAGCAAACTTAAAGTGGTAAAAACCCATTTACTATATTCAACAGTTCATTTCATAACAGATAAAGTTCTTTTGATCACTGTGTGGTTAGTGACAGTCTGAATAAGATGTATAGTAACATCATCCCTCCTGATATGAAAAATACTGTTACTACTACTATATATTGACAAACAGACAGTATTTTAACTATATTACCATTAGCTTTTAGATAAGCTGATCTTTGATAATTACTTAATAGAAGAAAAGAGGCAACCTTAAAGGAGGCTGGAATGGAAATGAGAAGAACTTGGTAAATGTCTCAAGATACTACTAGAATCATTACAAACTAGCAAACATGTCAGAATTATAGATTGTTTTAAGCTTCAAAAATTAGAGATAGGCTATTTCCAAAAATATTAAAACATTGACTTGGCTTTTGTAAACAGAGAAGCTAAATGGAAATCTGTCATTTTTTCTGTGTGCCTTGGTGCATTTTGAGCTCCCCCAAGGACATTGACATCTTCTAGTTGGTTCCAATATATGTTGATCTCATTTTATTTACCCATGCTTCTGCTCAGAGGAAATTAGTTATTAAAGCTATTGATATTTCTGGTACTTTATATTCAGAGGCTCCTTGGAGCCACTGTTCCTGTTGATCTGAACTCTGCCATGTCGTGTCCAGCCTGCATTGCTACATAGCATCTGTTCCACAGGATGTGTGTATTCTACCTTAATGGCTTGGATGAAACACATTCATAATATCGACTATAAGGAAAGAATTATAGATGACTTTCAAAATATTCACTTTCTAGTGTCGTTTCTGTTGGTTTCAAGCTGTCTAATTTTTAATTAATTCAATTAAATGAAAAATTCTTTAAATAGAGATTAATAGCAACCAATTTTTAATCAGTGGTTTCTTGATGATATTTGCTCAAATTACCAACATGTTTATCCCTCATTTCACATAAAGGAAACAGGAAAGATGTTGTTGATGTCATCATATTAATATATTCCCAACTTTTCAAATTAACAGTAATGGAAATTGTTTTTTTAATCCTCAATGGATTCAATATTAAGAATCAGATTACTTTTTAAAAGTTACAGTTTAAACAGGAAAAGCTAACAAAACATTAGACCTAAAATTTATGATGAAATGGGCAAATTAAGAAGAGTGTGGAAAGGGGAAAACATGCAATTTAGGTAATTTTCATCACAAACTAGTATACTTGCAACCATTGGTACATTCATAATCATTAATTTAATTAACAAATATTAAGATTTTGGTTTCATTATTATTTTTCATTCAATAATCATTAAGTGATTCTTTGAGAATGAAGATACTATATGAAGGTAGATACTATTCAGTCATATTATTTTTTGTTTTAATTTTCTGAAATTGTGGCTTGAATCCATGATAGAAAACTTTCAACTTCTGTGTAAACACTATATTTTCTTGGAGAAGAACATCCTTTGCCTCAGCTAATAATCCTAGCAAGATACCACCTGTTTTTAAACTTCATAACATACGGGGTCACCACCTCAAGTATCTTGGCTTGTAGCTTTCAGTGTAACTTGTGCAAAACATGTTTTGTGTGATAGTGTAACTAGAACTGTAACTGTTATCTCTGGCTACTACAGGAGGACTAGCTTTCTGAAGGACAAAGGCTTTAGTTCCACCTGGGACACTGACACTACCCCAACTTGTTACCACTCATAAAGAACCAGTGGGAAAACTGTTATCTTTGGTTACTACGTGAAGATTAGCTTGCTGAAGGCTTTAGTTCCACCTGGGATACTGACACTACCCCAACTGGTTACCTCCCCTAGGGAACCAGTGGTAGAATTGTTATCTCTGGCTCCTACAGGAAGAGTAGCTGAAGGGTGAAGGCTTTAGTTGCACCTCAGACACTGGGAAAACTACCAAGGAAACCTCGTTGGGGATGACAAATTGGAAGCACGTAGGTTTAAAGACCACTCATTCCACAAACTGTACCAAAGCAATATCGTTGTTATTAATGACTGCATTCTTTTCTTGGTAACGTGCTCTGGATTGGAAGTTAGGATGAACTACCACACGTTGAATTTTCGCAACGATTTCTTCTGGTCCTGGACTTCTTAGTGCTTTACCTAGCTTGATGAAGAACTTGTTTTCCATTTGATCATCTGTGTACACTGGTGTAACTAAATTGCTAATATCAAAGAAGTTGAAGCAGTGTGCAGCTGTAGATACCCATCTGTTGCTGATGAGGGAACAGCCATAAACAAGGGGAACTTTGTCAGTTGATAACATACACATTCATTGTGCTAAATTCTTCGGAGCACAAACGCTATCTATGACCCTCTCCTTTCTTCTGGTTTTTTTGCTATTGGTTTGCCGCACAGGGTATTCTGTCTGTGCTTCCACGTGAATGTTCCTGAACAATTTACAGTTCTTGTTGTATAGTGTCTGCACCTTACAGATATAAATACCGCTATCTTGAACAGAGAAGTTCGTTATTTGAAGGTTACCTTCACCGAGGTTACTGATTCTTTTGTTGAAGCTTACCCGTTGACCATGAACATATCAAGAAATAGTCGCAGTGGGATCATTTACTTGATAGAATAACAAAGCCGTGTCTTCAGGCCGTACCTACAACTTATTCCTGAGCTAAGAACGCTTTCTGATGGAGATATCATACATTCTAAATCTTATGATTGATTAAAACATAAAATACCTGTTAATATATATTTCACAGTAATTCTGAATAAATGTACTTATGGAAAATAAAATTTAGTGAAGATATTGTTACGTCTCCGTTCGTTAATTGATTTTCCGTTCCGACGAAACTTTAGCGACACAAGTCCTTTCTTAAATAAAACTGATTTATTCTTTCCGAATACAACTTTACAATACACTTAATTTCAACAGTCGCGCTATAATTCTCAACGAACGTCTCACGTACTGGAGTTCAATTACACACTCTCTGACTGCAGTTCAGTTACTCACTACTACACTGTTGTCCCTTCACGTTGTCAATGTCTTATATATACAAGACTAACGCATATCTAGTAAATGCTAGGGCATTTTTGAAAGAACAGGATATTTCTAGAAAACAGGTGGCGTGATACTAGCCACGAACAATAGCCACTTACAACAAACCAATAACAATTAACAATAATTAAATGTATAGAATTACAAACACAAAATTACAATTCAACAAAGTCTCTTAATTTTATGGGATGTATCTTCTTCCGTACTGGTCTCCGTCTCGTTGGCTTCTGCTTCACGTGGGGTTCATCTGCTTCATCAGAAAATGTCCTATCGTCGGTAACAGTCACATCAGTGGTAGTAACTTCATCAAAAGCTTCACCATTTCCATTCTCAAAACTGAGTAGAGTTTCTTCTTTGACGGTGGCTTCTTCAGGTGGCACGTCTTCAGCAGCGTCATTTGTTCTGTTGTCCAC